TTTGTACTACTATAAATAGACTTTGACAGATTCTAAAACAACTTTTTATTTGCACTACTATTACTAGACTTTGTCAGATTCTAAAAGAACTCTTAAATGTTACTGCTCTTGCTAGACTGTCAAAATTTTCAAACAAACGACTTTTTATTTGTACTTCTTTTACTAGACTTTGTCAGATTCTAAAACAACTTTTTAATTGTACTGCTTTTACTAGACTGTCATAATTCTCAAACGAACGACTTTTTATTTATGCTACTATTACTAGACTTTGTCAGATTCTCAAACGACTTTTTATTTGTACTACACTTACTAGACTTTGTCAGATTCTAAAACGACTTTTCTATTGCATTACTACTACACCTTTTCAGATTTTAAAAGAACTTTTCAACTGTACTACTAATACTATATTTTGAGAAGACTTTTTATGTGTACTGCTACTACTAGACTTTGACAGATTCTCAAACGAGTTTTTTTTGTACTACTATTACTAGACTTTCTAAAACAACTTTTGTATTGCACTTTTACCAGACTTTCAGATTTTAAAATATCTGTACAACTATTACAAGATTTTGAAATGACTTTTTATATGTACTACTAATGCTAGACTTTGTCAGATTCTCAAACGACTTTATTTTGAACTACTATTACTAGACTTTGACAAAATTCTAAAACGATGTTTATTTGTATTGCTATTACTAGACTCAATTGTACTAGTACTGTTGGACTAATTACTTTTTAAAAATACTATTATCACTACGTCTACGGCTTGACACGACATATGTTTGAGCAACTTTTCAGTTGAACCATTTATAGGCTTTGAAAAATTAAAAAAAAACCTCTTCAGATGGACTAAAGCTATTACTAGACTTATCCTTGAAATACTTTCAACAAGCGCTTTTCCTTCTAATCTTTGACAGATTCAGTGCTCTCACTTGCACTACTAATAGACTGACAGATTTGCGAATGAATTTTCACTCGCGCCTTTAGAACAAATTTTTAAATTTAAATTTGTTTTACTCAAAACAAAACAAATTTTCTTAGATTGTTTTGCTAACTCCACTTGAATCATAATGAATTTTATAGACTCACTTACGCATAGTTTGACTTCGACAAACTTTTTACGACTCTGTGTAGTAAGATGACAATCGAAATTTCCTACTTTATTTAACAGTTCTTGTTATTGGCTTTGACAGAGCCTTACAAAATTCCTCTACTTTCTTTCTTCAATAATAAAATTCAAGCAACCTGCAAAAAAGTAAACAAGAATTGAAGGTGAACATAATACAGCTACATGTCTCAGGAGGATGAAAACAATTAGAATAAAACAAAATTCACCATTGTTTCTATGAACAATGGGAGCCAACCTAGTTTTAGTGTAATTTTACAAGCTTTTTTAAAAGCTTCTGTGGTCTAGCGGTAGTGCACGTTTAACAATTCAAATTAAACGACGGCCGTATCCCCGCCGTCGTTTAATTTAAATTGTTGAAGCAACTCCAAGGGGTCAAGGCCCCGTTGGTCGATTTTCCTTTTAATCTTTAAAAGAGCAAAAATTATTTCATATTTGAGAGCTCCGAGAATTATTATCTGAATTTGTTTTTTTCAGAAAAAAATTCTCAAAGCTCTTATAATTCAATGCATTTCTTCTCATTTTAAGATGAAAGCTGCTTGGAATTATTACAATTTAAAGTTACAGAAGGATGAGAGAATATGGTCAGCGAACGAGCCAGGCATTGCCACAAGAACACAAAGGCGAATCAAAAGCAAAAAGAAACAGAATAAAAAGAAATGTCCTTCGGAAAAAATATTGAAATGTAAAAATAATCATCTTTAAACATCTGACAAGCGGAGCAATTCTTTTTTCAAAGGCATTCATAACTTTTTCTTGGTGACGTTTTGTTTGTTTAAAATTTCTCTGTTGATACCTTTTTTTAACTTTGTCTGCTGTTGGGGTTTTAACTTAACTTTAAGAAATTAGATACTGTCGATAAAACAATCTCAAACTTATTATAAAAGTAGTTTGTTTCAAATTAAAGAGGTCCAATGACTTTTAGATGTTTGTTCTATAACTGTAAAGAAAAAATTAAATTTTTATTCTAAAGTTAATTTTGTATTTACGAAACTTTTACCTCCGTTCAGCAAACATTTTGCGATTTTAAAAAATTCTAAGTTTTAGTGAAACAAAATTTGTCTTTTTTTTTTGAAAAAAAAATAAAGTTAAGAAGGGTTACTATTTCCAAAGTGCACATTTTAATAGACAGATGGGCTGATAGATAGCTAGAGCACCAAAGGAACACATCGAAATCTTTCTAGGAGACTTCCATGTAAGGCTTAAATTATTGAAGTTCTTATTTATTGAAAAAACATTTTCAGCTTTTTTTGTTCAGTTTCCGTTGTTCCTTTATGTAGCTATCATGATCTTTTGTATTAGCAAGATATTAAATATGTTTTCCAAATTTCTTTTGAGATCCTGTCGTGTATCTGTTGATTGAAAAATCCATTTTCACAAATGAAGACATTGCTGTTCTAAAGAAAACTACACCTTTTCCTATTAAGTTTAGAATTTTTTGTATTATCCTCTCACCATATAGTTTCTGAAAAAATTTATCAAATAATCAGGAAAATAATTTTCATTTTGCTACTATAGACGTCGAAATATCAATGTAATCTTTGTGCGCAGATTAACATTACGAAAAGAACAGTATTGTAAGCTGTTTTAGAAGAACTCTTTGACAACTTCAACGCGCTTTTCCTAGACGCACACAACTCTAACTAAAGGATAACTTTTCTATTGGAAGAATTTTAGCATTTACTGCTCCAACCATTTCTCCTTAATTCTCTTGTTTTCTTGACGAGGGATCAAAAGGATATATATGGGTAGTACTTGAAACCTTTCCAGAGAGAGAATGATTGATTAAGTCAAGCCTTCAGAAATGCCTAATACACTGATCTAGGTAAAATATTTTAATTCTAACGATATATATTTTTTGAATTTCCCGAAAAATAATCGCGGAGATTCATGTTGTTTGCAGATAAATCTGAATCAACCTCAAGACATCCAAACTTTCTTCGGAAACTAAAGGAAACATTTTTCAGTGGTCTCACATAAAAATTCGTTGATGGTGGATTCATTGCCTAAAACAGTAACTACCTTGGAGTAAAAATCTCATCCTTAGAAAAGGAACTTATATCCACATTATTTGAGTTGATACAGCTTTTCGTTTGTTTTTAAATGATAGCGAATTATAGTTTTTTAACTTTTTTCATCATATTTCTCACTCGAAAAGACATTTTAAAATTTTTTTCCGCAGTAATCTTCGGTTAAAAACTACTTTTTGTGTTTGTTTTATTTTTATCCCTTTTCAATTTTAAAGAAAAAAATCTACTTTTACCAGAGAAAGTCTGATTTTTTGACACAATGCAAGAGGCAACCTAAACTAAGAGAGGAGAACCTTGACTTTGCAGCATAATTTTAAACATTGAAATTTGCCGTTTAATTTGTGTCAATGCATAGCTAAATGAGAAAAAGAAACATTTTCTGTAGAGTTCTGTAGAACGATCTCGCTTCGAAACGTTTGCGAAGATATAGATATCCGTAACACTAAAAAGGTGACTGCCTTAGTCTGTATTATTTTACAATAAGAGGTCACTATTTCGCTCGTCAACTCTTTTATCAGTCTATCTTAATATGGCAGACTTTTAAAGGTAAATTTCGGTAATATTTTTGTTTTTCCTTAATTTATAATGTTTGAAAAAAATTAACTTTTGAGGAAACTTAGAATAAAGGTCAAAACCAATCAACGTTTTTTGGCTTT